GTTTCTAGGCAACGCGCTTCCACGGTCCAATCGGAGTCATGGAATTGGGAACTCACACTTTCAACGCCTTTTACAATTGGATAACCCCATAAATAAGTAAGGAACGGCGACTTTTTTATTTGTTTATTATAAATGTTAGTGTAAACTAGAGAAGAAGAAGGAGGAGGACTCTTCAACCAAATTTTTCCACGCGCCTTTCAACCTCTTTATTATTGGAGGATACGGCCTCCCCAAGGTCCAAAATCATTTTGTTGACCCCAAAAAAAAATCCCAAATGGTTTTATTTTGTCTTGTTTTTTTTAAAGAAAGAAAGCAACTACCAAACTTTTTTATAAAGCAATAATAATTTTACTTTTCACATTAAAAGCTCAGGACAAGAAAAGCCGCCCATGATCCAGTCTTCAATCTCCATGCCCACGATTTGGGACCTTGACGTTCTTCCAACTTTTATACATAATTAATAATTCAGAATTCATAAATAAAAAAATAAGGAATATATTTTTCTATTTCTGGGCGTATAAAACTATATAATTGACAATCTAACTAATCGAACCCGAGGTTAATCATATTATATTGTGCATGTGAATCTGTGATGCAGCCGTGTAGGCGGTTTTGATTACATAATTTTTTCCACAAGATTTATAAAGCAGTTGAGAGAAAAGAAAATAATCTCTACATAATATTCCAAACGCAAAACAAAAACACAGACAAACGTGCTTATAGGGTTTATATCTTAGTGCCTAAGTTTCCTCATTTCCTTCTTTGTTTTGGGTTTTTGGCCATAGTCTACAACTACAACGGGTCAAACCAACATTCTAAGTAAGAATAAAGGGAAAAGAAATTGGGTTCAAATTATTTCGAATAAATAATAAATAATAAATTCCAGAAAGGAGGCTCTGCTGGTACTGTTGCTGTTGGTTGATTTATGAGGAAGGGGGTTGCTGGAACTGTGCGGGCATGCATGGGACCATGTGGTCCATATCGACCCCTCAAGCTAATAACTTTGCTTGATTTGACGTTTGAACACAATAAAACCATGAAAAATTAGGGTTTAATAAGTAGTTCTGATCTGAACCTGATACAAAACGGGATTTTAATTTAAATGATATAAAATGAAGTAAAAAAAGAAAATATAAAGTTGATGTGTGTTTTCATGAATTTTGAGAGGTGGAGAAGAAGCTGCGCATGATGATGATCCCTGGTAAATAGGGCATTTGTAATAAGACAAAAGCAAAAAGGTTTATCTATATCTACAGACTACATGATCCCTGACCCTGAGCCTGACCTGAGCAACAACTTTTCTCTTCGTCGTCATCTCCTCTCCTCTCCTCCTCTCCTTCCTAAAGGCAAAGCTAATGTGGATAAAAAAGAGAGTGATATATAAAACGCAAATTGGCGCTGTAAAGTAGAGGTATATGCATCGATCAGAGCTTGGGAAAATAATAGGCTCCCTCCAGCTAATCATTTTTTATAACCCACAAGAAACCTTTGAAAAGATACTCTCTCCCTCTCTCTCTCTCTCTCTCTCTCTCTCTCTCTCTCTATATATATATATGCGTTAAGTCATTGTCATTTTGTGTCATTTTGATCGAAAAACAGAGAGAGAGAGAGAGAGAAGTTTGATTTGATTTGATGTATATATATCCAGAAACAGAGATGTTATGCATGCCAATAGTATCATTGGTCAACAATCAAAACTTGATTTCCTTGATTAATTAACTCTGGACTCAGCCGCAGACTGCGATCCTGTTTCACTCATTCTACTTTGACCAAAATTGAATCCTTCCATCTTTGTACGGCGCCTCTCGTAAAAGTTACGCTATATGTATCGATCGTGAGTGGCAAATCCCATGTACGCTTCACAAGTCAAGGCCACCTCCAGCTGTTGATCAAATAATATTCAATATAATAGTGGATTTGTTAAACTAAATTTGAGGAATATGAACGAAATTATAAGAGGGAATATAAAATTTGAATTTTTTTTTAAATTATAGAAATTCTAGGATTGCATTCATAATTCACCCAAAAAAATTACTAGCCACACCATTACAATAACGGAGCGGTCTAACACCAAAATCAAGACAATCTGGTGCGCCTCTACTAACGATCACGCAAATTGCAAACTTAAAACAATAAAAAAGTAAAGCTTGAAAAAACCAAGCCATAACAATACAAATAAAACTCTCACAAATGAGATAGATGAAAAGCTCTAACAAAATAGAGGCGAAAAACTCTTACGAAATAAGAGGTGAAAACTTCACAGAGCCCAAATAGTCTATTTGAGTTATTTTGAACATAAAGAAACGCAAAAAGGATGGTAGTGGAGATTCAAGTCTGAAACGCAGGTCGAGATTCTACGTAGAGACGTAGCCGCCTGTGATGGTCGGAAGAAAATCATAACAAAATGAATGCAAAGAGGGAAAACTTTTTGTCTTTGAAAATGAGGGGAGAAGAAAGGGAGTTAGAGAAGAGGGAAGAGGGGAGGAAGAACAAAATGGCTCTAGAAGGGTTTTTGGGAGAGAGGGGATTAGGGTTTGGGAGAGAATATGGTTTTTGTTAATATAAACTTTTTGTTAAAAAAAAATAAATAATAAGAATATGGTAACTCATTATAAAATTTGGAATCTAAATATGACTCTTAATACTAAGTAGTGACATTTCATGTAATTTCTCCTTTTTTCTTTAAAGACAAGCGATTGTCTAAACTACAAAGAGGAGGGGTTGTTGAAAAATATAAGTTCCATATTGGAAATTTGACTACATAAAATAAAATAAAATAAAATATATAATGAATACTAATATCATCGAGGCATTTTGTATAAAACCCCACATCTGCTAAAGATGTGGTAAGTTAATAAGGGTTTCTCACACACACTACCAAAGTATCATGGGGTTTTGAACCTTTTTCCATAGGTCTAAAGGAAGTTGATTTTTTCACTCATCGTTAAAAGGGGGGAACATTTCAACTACCATCCCATTCGTGACGGTTATATTGTTTTTTTTTCTTTAAAAACCCATCCATTTGGTTTTCAACTAAACTAATTATGTTTGTCCTATTTCAGTTCAGTTTTGCTTCAATCATCAATCGCCTATAAGCACTATAGTATACTATGCATTGGCATAGTAGCCTCATCCCTCTGGCGTTGTGGTCATTGTGTCAACACAAATAAATAAGGGAGTTTCACTAAAACACCCAAAATGGTGGCTGAAATTATAAAAAAACTCAACACCCAAAACACTTTATAAACACACCCAAAATCCATCATTATACACACTCAAAACCCATTTATAAACACACCCAAAAAATATACAATTGTTGATTTTGGGTGTGTTTCTATGTTTAAATAGTGCTTGGGTTTTTTTATAAATACATGTCTAGGATTGGGTTTATTTATAAATTTATGGGTTTATTTATAAATTTGTAAATAAATAATTCCTCCCTCCCTAAATACACCAACTTTTATTTTCCAATGGCCCGCAAATACAATACAATGACTCTCTCCAACAAAGATGAGGGTGTTGAAGAATTATTGTGAACAAAAGAGAAAAGAGAATAAAATAAAAACAAAAGTAATAATATTGTCAAACATTAAATAGATACAGTTGAGAAAATATAAAAAAAGAAAGAAAAAACCACCAAAGAGAAACACAAAAGATTAAATGACCCCTTACAGAACGTTATGGGAAATTGTAAATGCGGCAGCCATCAACAAAAGCCGGCTACAAGCAATGGATTTTATACCTAATCTGCAGTTAGGAGTTGGGACCTGGGAGAGTGAAATTTTATTTTATTTTATTTTCTCACTTCCGGTTGAAGTGGGTTTTGTCGTTTAGCTAGAAAAGCGACGTTTATCATAACGGACAAGACCTTTATTTTGCTTGGAATAGCAAATACTTGTCTGAAATAGCAATACTTGTCCAATTTGTTCTGTTCATTCTATATTCCATTTTCTCTACAGTCCCTTAACTTTATCGCCTCTTTCCAACTCTTGCCACCAACCTTTGGATTTTGCATTTTGGGGACTTCCAAACAGAAGGACTGAATGAGAGACCAAGTTTTTCAATAGGAAAACCCAATATATATATATATATACATAGATATGTAAGAGAGAGAGAGAGAGTGAATGAGTGAACCAGTAAATAAGCAGCTGGTTGTGAACTTGTGTTAAGTGTTTCCCACCAATTTAACCTTTTTTATGGGACTGAAAATCCTTGAAAAACTTATTATATATATATACATAGATATGTAAGAGAGAGAGATAGAGTGAATGAGTGAACCAGTAAATAAGCAGCTGGTTGTGAACTTGTGTAAAGTGTTTCCCACCAATTTAACCTTTTTTATGGGACTGAAAATCCTTGAAAAACTTATTTTTCTTTCCTCTCAACTCAAGTGGGTCATTCTTTTCGAGGTCCTACTCTCCCACTTGCTGGTCTTTGCTGTCTCTGCCTCTGTTACCTGCCCCCTTTTTATTTATTTTTTATTTCAAACTCTACCAATTCTCTCTTTTCTTTCTTTTTACAGAGTAAGATCCATTTCTCTCAGCTGGGGATTCTATTTTCTGGAAATTATGCTGCTTGAAGGTAACATGGATCAAAGTTTCGATATTTGATACAGTCGTGTTGTGTTTGCTAGTTTTGGTATTTGTTTGTGGCTAGAAATACAGTAGTGGGGTTTTTGGCTATGTGGGATGCAGGGTGGCCTGGTTCAATCTAAGCATCTGGTATTGTTGAAATTGGTAAAGCTTTACTGGGTATTGCTTGGGATGGTGGTTTATGGCTTTTGGATGTGATGGTTTGGTTGCGGGTCACTTGTGGGGTTTTAACTCTGTAAAGGGGCTGTTAAGTGTTGAGCAAAAAGGGTTTTTTGGATTACTTTGAACTTGTTTGCTTTGTGGTGGTGATAGAGTGCTTCCGATTTCATGCTTGGTCCAAGACAATGGAGATGCTTGTGGCCAGATTTTTATTGCTTTCGCATTCGATATTGTAACTTATGAAATAATATGAAGAACCTTCTTAAGAAACTCCATATCATGTCCAATCAATCAGAAGGTGCACAAGGGTCTGCTTCATCAAAGGGCAATAAGTCTACTGATAAGTCGTCGTCCCCTGAAACTGAAAGGCTTTTGCACTCAAGGTCCCATCATAACTCTGAGCACAAAACCTTTTCGGGGCTATCGGGTTGGTTGAATTCAGTTTCTAATAGACGTAGTCCTAGTCCCCCATCATCTTCAAATGTCGCTAGGGCGGCAGAGAGAATGGAGCCACCTGATGCAGCTAGTAGGAGTGGTTTAGACGTTGTTTCAGATACAGCTAGGCGCGATTCGGGGTCTAGTACCTCAAGGGATGCTGACATAGCGGAAGAGTATCAGATTCAACTGGCTTTGGAGTTGAGTGCTCGGGAGGATCCAGAAGCAGTTCAGATTGAGGCTGTTAAGCAGATTAGCTTGGGCTCTTGCGCTCCTGATAATACCCCAGCTGAAGTTATTGCCTACCGTTATTGGGTAAGTTTCTCTTCATCCGCTAATCTGACTGAAGTTTGGTTGACTTATTGTTGTTACGTCTATTGTTTGCAATCTCCACGTACAATCAATCTAAAGTGAATAATTGATCAACGTCCGTTCATTTTAATCCATATTTGAAATTTATCTGGTCTAGTCAACTTTCTTCTTGTGGCATGTTAATGATGTGGCTGCCTGAAACTATACGGTTCCATAGATTTAAACTTTATTTTTCAGTTTTTCGTTCTCTTAAAATTTTTACATGATGAACATGCGTTTTACATGATAGGGATTCTAATTACTAGGCTTTGGTTACCTTCACTGCCAAAAGAGTTAAGAATTTTTTTATGGAAAGGTTTCGGTGTCACCATCATTGCTCCTTGTCCTTGAATTGCTCTCTTCATTACCTGTGATAAAGAGAAACCAGACGACTGTTATCAATAGTTTAAACAATTTTGTTGATAGTCTCATCATCAACAGTGCTGTGTTCATCTACATCTATTACTGCTAAATTTTGAGAAGGAATGGATAGATTCCTAGCATTTCGAGGAACATCCAAAACTAGAGTATTCGTGTCCTGTCTGCCCATTGACTTGGTTATACTTAAAACTGAACCTGTCAATCTAAAAGCTCATGTATGTGTTCTATAAAAAAAATTTCTGTTTAAGATCGAGCTCTATGTTGTATATATGGTCTCTCAAACTGCATGTGGTGAGACAAGAACTGTGTTACAGAGGTGATGTCTGTCTTGCAATTTCACATTGGACTTTCAGTCCCAACTTCTATATTTGAGAAAAGAAGATGGATACTTAAAATAATACTCCGTAAAATATTGAAATGTTGTTGACCTCTCTGTCTAATGATTGATCACATATTGTTAAGAAAAGAATTGTGCCTCCATTGCGACTGGAATGCAACTAGCTAGAATGCATGCTTTCTGAATGTAGCTTTTTTTTCTTTTTTTTCGCACTTGTAGATATATCAGAAACATTAGGCAAGGTAGTTCTGAAACGTGTATCATGCATTATTTTTACTAGGGCACATGTGACAGAATAGATGGGGCAAATCGGAAGAATTTTCTGTGCATGAATCTTTCCCTGATATTCTAAGACATAACATCTTAAACATATGGGAGCAATGATGTATGGCAGTGTTCTTAAATTTAATTTTGTTTCTTCAGTTTTGTAATATTTTATTCCTTTCTAACCTGTCTCATATCGTAGATTTATCCATTCTTCACAGAATTACAATGCTCTTAGCTATGATGACAAGATCTTGGATGGTTTCTATGATCTGTATGGGATATTGACAGAGTCAGCCTCAGAGAGAATGCCTTCTCTTGTTGATCTGCAAGGAACACCTGTTTCAGATAGTGTCACCTGGGAAGCAGTTTTAGTCAACAGAGCTGCTGATGCGAACTTGTTGAAACTTGAACAGATGGCCCTAGAAATGGCTGTAAAGTCAAGTTCAGATCCTCTGGTTTTTGTAAACAAAAATCTGGTGCGCAAACTTGCTCTTTTAGTTGCTGACTACATGGGTGGACCAGTTGCGGATCCTGACAACATGTTGAGAGCATGGCAAAGTCTTAGTTACAATTTGAAAGCTACCATTGGTAGCATGGTTTTGCCACTTGGTTCTCTGACAATTGGATTGGCCCGTCATCGTGCATTGTTGTTCAAGGTACTTGCTCTCTGTTTTATTCATATTGAAAACCAATTTTTAATCCCTAATGAGGCATGATAATATGTATATATATTAAAATAGGTCCTAATCAAGGCCCTAATTTTTGTATTTTTCTAATCACATTATTATTTTTACCAACCTTCAGCCCATACATTTATAAAAAGCTTGAAGTAATATAAAAATAGAACAATATTTCTGAATTTTGATATTAAATTATATTTCAAAAGCTAAATCTTATAAGTTTATGAGAATTTTAACAGCGTTACCCTTTTTCTTTTGCTTTTTGAACATGATTATCTAGAGTGGCATGTTTGTTCTGTTCCTGGATATACTTTATCTGTTTGCCTCCCTGTTTTCAGTTTCATGGTCTTCCATTAGTGGTTTGTTCATCACTAATCCGATTTTCTATTTAACCAACAAGGCTTTGGCTGATAGTGTGAGCATCCCATGCCGGTTGGTGAAAGGACAACAATACACGGGCTCCAATGATGTGGCGATGAACTTTGTAAAGATTGATGATGGAAGGTAACTTATGTTACAAGTTTATTACTTTTGATGTAGACTGTGTGTGTTATATTATTGTTTTCTAAACCGCATAATAGGATTACTTATGCATTTTTGGATTTTTTTTAGTTGACAATTGTTGCTGAAAATGTTCTCAGGCCATTAATATGTGTATCTTTGAGATTTTCTCATTTGAAGTTGCAGAATCTTAACTTGTTTATGAAGGTATGTACAATGTGAATTTCAGGGAGTATATTGTTGATCTGATGGCAGACCCCGGCACACTTATTCCATCTGATGCAGCTGGATCACATATAGAATATGACGAATCTTACTTTTCTGCCAGTCCTTTGTCTAGAGAAATTGATTCCTCTCATGTTGCTTCTTCCAGTAGTGGAGTTGGGAGTTCGTTTGAAGAACATTCAGACTTTGGAACATTAGACAAGAAATCCAGGTTAAGAAATTTTGCTTCTTCAGCAAGGGATTCTGAAGAGAGAGAAGAACCAAATTCTCGTGCAAATCTACCCAGACCAACTGAACGTGGGCAAGAATCCAAGATACCTTCAGATGAATTTAGATATCCCTCTAATTCTGAGAAGGCGCTGGTGAAGGAACTTCCAGGAAGGCCAAATTATCCTTTTGCACATGCAAGATCCCCTTCATGGACTGAAGGTGTTAGCTTTCCTGCTGCTCGAAGAATGAAGGTTAAGGATGTTTCTCAATACATGATTGTTGCTGCCAAAGAGAATCCGCATCTAGCTCAAAAACTTCATGACGTGTTACTTGAAAGTGGTGTTGTTGCTCCCCCAAACTTGTTTAGGGAAATATATCCAGAGCAGTTAGATGTGTCAACAGTTGAGACCAAGCCCCGGCCAGAAGATATGGGTGAAAATAAAGAGAGGTTTGAAACACAAAAAATTAAAGGTCAAGATGATAAAAGTCCAGCTCACTTTTTGCCTCCTTTGCCTCAGCACAGGGTGCATTTTAAAGCTAGTCCTTCAGGTCAACTAGAGCATCTTAAGCCCATGGAAGGTTTAGGGGTCAACCTTCCACTTGATACCAGGGAAGTAACTGGCCAGTCTGAAGTATCTTCATCTAAGTATACAAAAAATGTCCCTGTTGCTGCAGCTGCAGCCGCAGCAGCAGCTGTTGTGGCATCTTCAATGGTAGTTGCTGCAGCAAAGTCAAGCACTGACTCAAATCTGGAACTTCCTGTGGCAGCTGCTGCAACTGCTACTGCTGCAGCTGTGGTTGCAACAACTGCAGCTGTCAGTAAGCAGTATGACCAGGGCATGAGAAGTGATGGAGATGCAGAAGGTTCTGGTTATGAACCACGGGGCAGTGGTGACCGTCATGATGCTTTTGGAGTTAATTTGGAAGGCGAGAGAACATCAGATCGATCGGCAGGTAATGACAGTACAAAATCTGACATTACAATTGATGATGTCGCAGATTGCGAGATTCCATGGGAGGATATCACCTTGGGTGAGCGTATTGGACTTGGTACTGACCTCTGCATTTTGCTATAAAATCATGTACTTCTCATATATAAACAAGACTAACTCTAAATGGTTCCCATACTCCACTTCTAATTTCAAGTGTAAATGCACCGTTTAAACTGCAGGATCATATGGGGAGGTCTATCATGGAGACTGGCATGGGACTGTAAGTTTTCAGATGCTATTTCTGAAAGATAACCTTGTTTGTGAAGACAGCGTGGCACTGTCTGCATGCACTGTGGTACTTTGAGCTTATTTTCATTAATTGGTTTTACAGGAGGTTGCTGTAAAGAGGTTTCTAGACCAAGACTTTTTGGGCGAATCACTTGATGAATTCAGAAGTGAGGTACAAGCCGTGGACTTCACCCATTTCCTGAAATTTTTTGGTGTTCTTTGATTTTATGTCATCTATGCATATTATCTTCTTAAAAAGCAAAACCTTCATAATTCTTATTGGGTGCAGCCGTGGCCAAGAATTCATGTCATCCTTGGCATGCATTCATCTAGTGATTTGTTTTCCTTTTGGAAAAATACCAAGCTTGATTAACCATTATGTATCAGATTTAAGATCCATTGTTCCATAAGCTTGTATATTTATAAAATATCACAGTTATCACTTTAGGTCTTCGAGATTGGTTTGGTTAAATTCATTGAAGTTGTTTTCTCTTTTATGTTCAGTCCTTCATTCAGGAGGCAAAAAGAAGTGGAGATTATTATTAGTGGCTTGACAGAAATCTATCACATTGTTTAATGTGCTTTCCAGAATCTTTCTTTTTCTCTTTTGATGAATTAATAATTATGATCTTCGGGATGAGAAATCTAATATTGTTGGCACCTTGAAATTGGCCATATCTGTCAGAAATTTTGATAGGGAAAGTTGAAGAGTAGATAGTTCAGTTATTCTCTTTCCCACTCCCTCCTCCCCCTCCCCCTCCCCCTCTCCCTGCCCCCTCTTCCAAAATACATGCCTAACGCAGTTCCCCTCTTGATTTAACTTTTGATTATTTACGCTATACTTTTTGTGTATGAGAGATTTATATATTGAGCTCAATCTTATATTTTGTTTTTAATTTGAAGGTCCGGATAATGAAAAGACTCAGGCATCCCAATGTTGTTCTCTTCATGGGTGCAATAACTCGTGCTCCAAATCTTTCCATTGTTACAGAATTTCTTCCAAGGTATGTTGGCACTTTCTATTTCCTTTTATAATAAAGTCTTAACATTCTTTTATGGAATTCAACTTTTTTATTTTTATAGATATTTATTTTGATATTTATCTATATTTTTACGTATAATAAGAAACTGCACTGTGTTGAGTTTGATTAATCATGTCAAATGGAAAAGTGATGTATAAGTCATGTTTTGCAGAGGTAGTTTATATAGGTTAATTCACCGGCCTAACAATCAATTAGATGAGCGAAGACGCTTGAGGATGGCTCTTGATGCTGTAATATTCTCTCATTCTTACCTTTAATTCCAGTACAAGTCAACAATCATGTGCTGTAATTGATAACTTCATCTAGCATATTTTTTGTGTTTTCAATAATAAAACTTCAGGCTCGGGGAATGAATTACTTGCATAACTGCACTCCAGTAATAGTACACCGTGATTTGAAGTCTCCAAATCTTCTTGTTGATAAGAACTGGGTTGTGAAGGTGGTTCCTTATCTCTTTTGTCAGATTATTTAACGTACTATTAGAGCCAATTTGGCATGATGTGAAATTTTCTGCCCGTTATTAGGTCTGCGATTTTGGATTATCAAGAATGAAGAACAGCACATTTCTCTCCTCGAGGTCCACTGCAGGGACGGTAAGCCGCAGTCAACAACTTGCTCTTTCTCACATTTGGCTGAAGCCATGAATTTGATTTCCTTATTTGTTTTGCATATCTCCTTCAGGCTGAATGGATGGCTCCAGAAGTGCTAAGAAATGAACCTTCCGATGAAAAGTATTCCTATATCGTCCGACCCACCTAATTTTATGTTTATATCATGCACAGGGTTGTTATGATAAATATAAATTTTGGTTTGATGTGCAGATGCGATGTCTATAGCTATGGGGTCATCTTATGGGAGCTCTCTACAATGCAACAGCCATGGGGGGGAATGAATCCAATGCAAGTTGTTGGTGCAGTTGGATTTCAACATCGCCGTCTTGATATTCCAGATGATATAGATCCTGCAATTGCAGATCTCATTAGAAAATGCTGGCAGACGTGAGTATATTTTTGGTTGGTCCATCCTTACATATTTCCTAATAAACTTAGTATGCCTGCTTAGTTGTTGAGGACAATAGATATTGAAACCTTGAACATAAAATGGTTTCAGTTGGCATGCCTTAGACTTGTTCTGTAGGTCTTAACAACTTATATTGCAAAAGTAGTTTTCCTTCTCTAAATTTTCATTTTCTTGTACACCAGTCCTCATTGCGTGTATGTTTTCTTGGGTATCTTTCTATTCATAAAAGATATAAGATATTGTCTGTTCCTTCCTTTCATATCTAAGGCAATAGATATGATGAAAATGATATATAATGTGCTGAGTCGTATTGAATTACATTCTAACGATGCGAATTCATTTTGGCATTTTTTTCTTCAGTTTATTATGATAATTGCAGCCTTATCATTTGTAAATCGATTCAAATGTGTATTTAGGCAGATATGCAAACCTGACATTTGACGTAATTAACATTGCAGAGATCCAAAATTGAGACCCTCGTTTGCTGAGATCATGGCTACTCTGAAACCGTTGCAGAAGCCTGTAAGTAGTTCTCAAGTGCACAGACCTAGCAGTGGGCGTGAGAAGGTTCAGCCATCCTGAGTTGGAGAATCCCCAGCTGGCTAAAAGAGTAAATTTACCCCCACTGAATATTTGGCTCATTTGACAGCCAAAATATGGATGGAGGCAAGTTGTACATTGATTGGAACAACTTTTGAGAAAAGGATTGAAGAACATGACCTAACATATACTCCATTTTGAGATTTGCCATTTTCTTTTCTTCTTTTTATCTTCTTCTTTTATGTTTTCCTCTTTATTTCTGTTTTCTCAACAGTGCGGCCATTCGCAAGGTTGTGCATTTGTTTGTAAAGAATTCATTGGCAATTGTTGTAATCAATGTTTTGATTTCCGGTGTCCATCCGTCGGAAGAGCGTTTTGTTGCCTGAACTTAAGATAAAAAGCAGTAGTGTTTATGGCAAATGACTTTTTGGAGAATCAATTTTCCAGGTCATTCTCTACATTTCAAAGAGCTCCTTAATCCTGGTTAATCTCCGTCGCTGTACATAAATGCCAGAGGTAGCAACACGGTGGGCTTGCTTGTTTTTCATTTCGAACTGGTCCCAACTTAATAGAAACAGAAAAAAGGGCAACCCACCATTTATATTTTGCATCATATACAAGGATAAGGTAGGGACCAGCGGCTACTTATGTTTAACTTGGCAAATTTATCCAGATTCTATCATTGCTTGGCTATCCTAAACAAATGGCTACCTTCTCTGGTTCTTCCCCATTTCTCTCCCACTCCCTAACAAGACCAAGCCACTTTTCTTCTTCTTCTTCTTCTTCATCATCACAGACGCCTCCTCCTGTTCCTCCACAAAATCTGCCTTCACAACCACATTCTCCAACACCAATTCAGCAGCTCAGCACAACTTCATCGGAGCAGCCGAAAACGCCAGTCTCAGTAAAAGCAGAGCAACAGAAAGCTGCCTCTTCTAGCAGCAGCACCAAGAGCACCAAGACCAAGGCTGACTCTACAGATTGGATAGCTTCGACGTTAACCAGGCGGTTTGGGATTGGAGCTGGCCTTGCCTGGGCTGCCTTTCTCACAGTGGGCGTGGTCTCAGAACAAATTAAGACCCGCCTTGAAGTCTCCCAACAAGAATCAAACACAAGGTTTCTAATCATCTCACTTCTTCTTCCTTCTTCTTCCTGTATACATACATATTATATCCAATTAAAAATTTGATATCCTGTGACAACTATGTCTTTCTTTTGTTTTGCAGAAATGTTGAGAAAGAAGAAGAGGTGGTGCTACCTAATGGCATAAGGTACATTAATTTTCCCCACGAAGCATGAACTATATATATATAGAGAGAGAGAGAGAGACAGAGACAGAGACAGAGACAGAGATAATTAATGGTGTTGTTTTATTTGGAGTGACACAACACAGATACTACGAGTTAAGAGTTGGTGGGGGGGCTTCTCCAAGGGCAGGAGACTTGGTGGTGATCGAGCTCAAGGGGAAAGTGGAAGGCAGTGGACAAGTGTTTGTGGATACATTTGAGAGAGAGAAGAAGCCTTTGGCTCTGGTAGTTGGGTCCAGGCAGCCCTACAGCAAGGGAGTGTGTGAAGGGATAGAATATGTGCTCAGATCCATGAAGGCAGGGGGCAAAAGAAGAGTGCTTGTTCCTCCAAGCTTGGGCTTCGGTGAGAATGGTGCAGATTTAGGTCCTGGTCTGCAAATTCCTCCGTTTGCAACTCTAGACTACATTGTTGAGGTCGGTAGAGTCTCGATTGCACCCGCATGATCATATTCATATTCTTGTCTTTGTTAATTGTATATTATTTTGATTATCGAGATCGATAAAGAAATTTGTAATAGATTTTGTATTTTATGGAACACATGAATGTATTTGTATTTTCATTGAGAAAGAAGAGCAAAAGTGAGTTAGTCCAGTTCGTGAAGGCAGTGTATTTGTCCTTTTTCATAGATTAGGTTAATGTAGAGTAGCTTACAATTGCTCTAACAATGTCCAAAAGTCTAATTAAATCAAATATTGTCCTCAACCGAAAAAGGATGAATAAGCAATTAGTTTGATATATGAAAACATGAGTAATTTTTGCATGTTCGGTTACATCACATGGTATACCCAAAACATACAAAAAATTCTCCAAAACATGATCATGGGCCATTTCGCGAATATGAAGGATATAGAATTTCCTTTATACCCTGGTAGGCTACGAAGAAAAGCAAGGGCACTAATTTTTTTTCGCAGTCACCAAATTTAGCGATCTTGCAAATTTTTAATCTGTGTTTGGCTCAGTGGTTTTTTCTTCTGTCGAATTCCTAACCAAACACAACCTTGTTTTCTCAGAGTTAAACTGGACCAGGTACAATTGGAATTGGATGCATCACGTTTCGTGAGGGAGGGACCCACATGCATGGTGTTACAAATGTCACGGCGAATAATTTTCCGCGAGAGAGAGAGAGAGAGAGAGAGAGAGAGAGAGAGAGGGACCGCGCAGTGAAATTGGAAATTGGAAGGGTCAAAATTCAAGACCCAACACTAAAGAGAGGAAAGTAATGGTGTTAAAATTGCAGCCACGCAGTTTTCCTATACAAAGAGAAAGAGCCCAAACACTTTTATGGATTGATATCTCAGCAACAAGCATAGAGCTTTTTCCCTTTTTTCAGGCTGCAAGCCAAGAAGCCAAGCCCAGTACAATTTCATGGGAACAGTCTTAGACTCCCATTTCTTAGCTCTCACGGCCATTGTCACTGTAATTATGCTCTTATCTCTCTATCTCTTTTATGGTTTTTTCTTTTTCCTTCTGGATTTCATTTCCTCTCTCGAAAGTTTTTAAATTTAGTGTTTTTTGGTTTTTTTCTTCAAGGTGGGGTATCAGTTGTTCTTCTTCATAATCACTGCTCTTCTCAAGTTCGACAAAATCACTGACTTCGCCGGTATACTTCTCTCTGAATTTATTTCCTGAGAATTTGGTTGTTAATTTCATGGTGGCTCAATCAAAACGCAAGTCAACAAAAACAGAGAAATATCAATACTAATTGGAAAATCATTGGGTTGTTTGGTTGCCAAGAAATGCTTGCTCAGACATGATTGATATATTTATGACATCATTTGTATAATTGTATTTACTTGCTGATTATGTTTTTGTTCTTTTTACAGGAAGTACCAATTTTGTTATACTTGCTATACTGACTTTGGTTGTCAAGGGCTCATGGCATTTTAGACAGGTATTATCTCTTCTGCATCGTCCTAGGAGAAAAATACGTTTGGTTTCTTCATCATAGTTCCTTTTTTTCATGTCAAATTTATTATGCCTAAGGTGTGTGTCACACACAGTATTGAGTTTGCAGCTCTTCTTTTTCAGGTAGTGTTGAGTTTACTTGTGGTAATATGGGGTCTTCGCCTGGGACTGTTTCTATTGATGAGGTACATAACCAATGAAGCATTTGCATTGTATCATACATCTTGTTAATTTCTGTTTCTTCCTCTCACCTTCTCCTTTAAAGAATGGCAGGCTTGCTTTTGTGTTGATTCTATTTTGTGTTGCATTTGTGTCTATCAAAATCCAATCATGATTTTCATACTCGTGCAATTTCCTGATCAGGATTTTGCAATGGGGAGAGGACCGGCGTTTTGATGAAATGCGTAATAATATAGGAAAATTGGCAATTTTCTGGATATTTCAGGTTTTCCACCTTTCCCTGCTTCCGGATTGTGTTAGACCTAATTGTGTCCTGCTTGTTCTCCGAAGGACAAAGTTTATTTGATTCTTGAAGCAACCTTATTTTTCTGCAGGCTGTCTGGGTATGGACTGTGAGTTTGCCTGTAACAGTTGTTAATGCAAGCAACAGAACACCATCGCTCCAAGCTGAGGACATAATTGGATGGATCATATGGTTTGTGGGTTTTGCAGTTGAAGCTACAGCTGATCAGCAAAAACTGACGTTCAAAAGTTCTCCACAAAATAGAGGAAAGTGGTGCAATGCCGGACTATGGAAATACACTCGACATCCAAACTATTTTGGCGAGGTTAGTGTTGAAATGGCATTCAATGCCACAAACTTAGAATTGATGCTGCACTGAACCCATTTCCAAAATGTTTTTTTTTGGCATTCATGCTGTCAAATTTTGAATGGAACTTTGATAAATGTTGTGCTCAGATATTCCTTTGGTGGGGAGTATTTGTGGCTTCCACACCTGTATTAAAAGGTGCAGAGTGGCTGGTGATTCTTGGACCAATCTTTCTCACATTGTTGCTTCTTTTCATCAGCGGCATACCGATGCTTGAGGTTTGCTTCCTGTTTCTTTTGATGTTATTGCAAAATACATAGCACTTGAAGAGTTGCTAATGATGTCTGCTTGAACAATAACAGGAGTCTGCAGATAAGAAGTTTGGAAATGTGGGCGAATATAGGCTGTACAAAAGAACAACTAGGTTAACTTCAGCTTTCATTTTGGTATATGTTTGTTTTGAGTATGAATTGCAGTAACTGAGACCAACATATTCTGTTTCAGCCCTCTCATTCCGCTACCCCCGGTTATATACAAGAACTTGCCCTTGTGGTTCAAAGCAACTTTTCTCTTCGAATTTCCTCTCTACAGTCGTAATCTTCCTCGAGCAGAGCCAAACTGGTGAGTTTACAATCCGTTAGAAAGTATTATTTTCTCACATACCAAATTGTTTGTTCTAAATTTGTAAGACATTTGCCATCCGTGCAAGGTGTAGAACAAGCCGGGTAGAAGGAAGCGATGGATTGAAGATTGGCTAGCCTAGAACTTGACTCTTTTGTAGTACTTGGAATTATCATAACTACAGTTGAATGGAATACGACTTTTTATTATTATTTATTAACGTTTCAAGCTGCTACCTCAAGATTTTTATGCTAGCAATTGCTTTGCACCACTTCCAATATTTGTATTTGATGCTTAATTTTTCTATCGCCATCCTTATGAGCAAGCAGAAAGAGTGAACATAATACCAAGCTGTGAACATATATAAATTTTTCATCATGAAAATAATACACGCCTACCCATTCAATTTCAGTTCATTGCCTGTATGTATTATTAGGTATGGGGGGAAACTGCACAAATCACACCCCAGGTAACTGATACCTCTTAAAAGCTGAGGAAATGAACCAAAAAAAATTAAGATTAAAAAAAAAAATTATATTATACTATACACCTGCAGTGTCATTAATGTTTTCCAAGGATATGACAGCCCCAGATTTGATCTCATTTGAAGCTTGAGAATGGGACACAAGAATATAAATGACCCAGAAGTGAAGGCATACAAAGTAAATCAAGGCCCATAATTTTGCAGTCCAATTCCTCCTCAAAAACACTGCTCCGGCCAAGAAAATAGAATCCAATTGATGAAGCGCTGAACCCAGGTGCTTCCTGCCTGAACGGATCCTGTCTTCAAACAAAGGTCTGCCTGATTCTATGTCCCTTGATGAGGAACCAGAAATTTCAGTCATTGACTTGCTTTCATCTAGCAACCTTGACACTGCCTGCAGGATGCATAGATTAAATTAGCCTCTCTCCTGCACATAGATCCATCTTGCGCATTAAAATTTCATCACGAAAGAGTTATCAGTAGAATCAACGTACCTCAATTCTGAACAGAAGAGTTGCTTTCTCTGAGGAAAGAGCCTCAACCTGGTTGAAGTAGAATCATAAATGACAGTTTCTCAAAAAAATAAACCAGAGACTTTTTTTGAATATATTCTGGTTCTTTCCAGATATATACAAGTCAGTGATAAAGCCAAACCCATATATTTTATAAGTCTTATATTTTTTTGTGAACAGACAAAAACTTGAAGGAACCAAGGGAATTAAGAAAGATTTTGGAATCACAAACCTGGGCTTGTTTATGAATCAAATGGTCAGTCATCTGAGCAAGCCTTCTCTTGAGCTCAATTTCTACTTCTGTTGGCTCCTCTATCTCTTTCCTTGTCATTTCAATGTTTGCTTCCAGCTTCTGTGCCTGAAATGTAACAAGTGATTTCTTTTTCAATGGTTATGGGGGATCACAAGATTAAGGCAAGATATGAAAAATAAAAAATCACAACTTTGCAACAATATAATGAAATACTCTGACCTTATCTTGCAATCTCCCAACTTTATCAGTTACAAAAGCACATTCTGCCTCCAAAATCTCTCGTTCAAGTTCAACTCCTTTTGGAGCTGCTACTTTGTTTAAAGATATTTTTGCTTGATGAGCATCGGAGATCTTCCTCCTGAGTTCTACAGGAAGAAAAAAGAGTTCCAAAAAATGATAGACCAAGATCCCAGTAACACAACATTAAGTTCAACATAACACTGAAATGTTCAGAATTTATGCAAATTATTCACTGCTTTACACTATATGCCATATATGAGGCCAATAAAGAAGTCAATATATTCGCTATCTACTATTGCCTGAACCCTGGAATCAACTCTCAAGAAAACAATTGGTGCCATTGAATCTTTAAGTTCAGAACATGCCTTGGCACCAGATTAAGTAATATCACATAAATTGAATATACTTTTTCGGAATAGGAAACATACCTTCGTGGTTCACTTCTTTTAACTCAACTTGCTGTCGAAGTTCTGCTACTCCATTAACCTAGACTCCCAAAAGAATGAAGGAAGAACAAGAAAAACATGTTAACAAGAGTCAAAAAGCACAAAAGTACTTGTAAGCTCTCAGCAGGTAAGGAAGTGCATCCAAGGCACTTAAAAGCCCAAAGAGCAGGGTTTCAAAAACCACAAAATTGAACTAGAAGGAATGGTTTAAGGACAAGCAGAACCAGAACGTTTTTACAATATTATTTCATCCACTACTTTGAACCATCATAACAATTAAACCAACTGGACAATTATCTTTTGCTCAAAACTTCAATTGAAAAGGTTATCCGAGGTTCATTGTATCACACCAATCATCTGAATCAGGAAATAGTCATACCTCTACTTCAAGATTCCATTGCACGGTGGCTAGGGATTTTGCAAGGTCAGCATTTGCAGCCTGCAACAAACTTTGACCTTTAGTGAAAACAAAGTGAACCTATATGTGAGCACTGACTTAAAAAGTTCGAGAAGCAGGGAGCTTCTACTTCTAGATTTAGTGGAGAAAAACAACCAACTCAAAATGAAATAAAAAAGAATCTAAAACGCATAAGAAATCAGATGGAAAAAGGTTGTAGCACCTCCAGTTTAGCCAAACGTGCAAAGACTTCCATTCTAGTGTTATTGTGTTTCTGCTTCTCTAAATCAGCAGCTTCCATGGTTTCCATCATAGTCATTTGCAGCTTGGAAGCCTGAAGCAGGAAAGTAGGTAAACTTGAGTAATAACATTTTATGCAAGAGGTAATGGCCTTAAAACAAAATGGAAAGACAGGATTACTGCAGCCAACCTGGGAAGAATGATAAAAACAACAAAATCTCAGTAATCTTATTCTTACCTCTTGGGCTTGTTGTTTCACTTGCTCTTCAAGTATTTTCTCCAAGCTCTGCTTCTCTCCCTCTAATCTGGCTACAAGATTTTCCCTCTCTTTGATGGCTTCCACAGCTTTAGCTGCCGCTTTCTCAGCCAGAATCTTCTCCCTCTTCTTTCTTCTTTCCTCTTTCTCACGCTCACTCTCAGAATCAGAACTTGAACCTGAGTCCGACTCAGAGCTCCCATCACTTACCGAAGTAAAAGTTCTTTTTAAGTCCTCAGAGGTAGAACTTCTAGACGCTTCACTGGACTCATGATTACCCCTGTCAGTACTTCTCAACCGATCACCCACATTCTCCCCTCCTATCTTCTTGTTAGAACCGCCATCGTTTTTCTTTACTGACTGTAAAGAACCATCCAATGAAAGCTCCTTAGAATCAAAATGTCCACCATTTTCTTCATTTCCCTTGTCTTTTGTTTCTGCTGAAGTGTGGAATCCCATATCCCTATAATCCAACCCTCGTCCTTCCAAAATCTTAACATCACTCTTCAATTCAACAGTTGGAGACCTTCGTGCTGAATCCGAAAAAGAAATGCCAGACTCCTCCCCATCACTTACTTTACCATTCAATTTACTTCCTTCCCCAACACTTGCTCTCCTCCCCGACTTCAGAACATTATTGCTCCCAGTCTTTTGATTCTTCTTAACCTCCAAAACCGACAAGCTGGAAATGGAGCTGGCACTGCCCTGCCTCCTACCATCCTTCCTCAAACCACGAACCCCTGGGAAACCATTGCCACGACTGGCGGTGGAAGTAGTTGCCTGATTAGGTGCACTGAGGAGCTGAGTCCAGTCACTATCAGTAAGAGTAGGCTTAGGTTTCTGAGTTCCAACAATCTCTTTATCCCTATTGATAATATTATTATTATTCTTCTTATTCTTATCATCATCATTACTGTTACTGGTGTTATTAAGAATGTTGAAACTGGGATCGCTGGTTAATTTTCCACGATAATCACTGTTTTCTATGGTTTTCTTTTTCAACTGGTCCTTCAAAGGCACACTGCCTCCCGTTTTCGTCGGAGTGTCCACGTTCAAGTCGTCGGCGAGAGGCTTCTCGTTTTTCCGCAACGACTCTGCAGCTTGCTGGTCGATCTAAACCGTCCATTTCACAATCACACTCATATTACATTACTATTCCAAACAGATCGAATATTCAAAATAAATATATATAAAAATAACCTTTAATTGCAGATCGACTAGTTTGCAAGAGAAGGTATTTTGTTTGGATGAATAAGATGTAAATTTTGGCTCTCTGATTTCGACTAAATTTCCATTTCTTCAAAAGAGAAATAGCCAATTTATTTAAAAGTAATAATAAGATTGGGAGGAGAAGGAAGAGAATTGTACCTGTTGAAGGATGGTTTCAGCGGCCCTGAGTTTGGAGGAGATCCAGTTGGCCATGGTCGTGCTAATTTAGCTCTTTTTTTCTGGAGAGAGCTACTCGAGGTGCATTTTTTATATTTGAAACGCAGTGTTTGATGTTGCAGAGGATGAAGCAAGAAGAAGGAGGGGGGGAATGGGATGGGAACGATGCGAGTTGAAAGGAGGAAGAAGGTGGAGGTGAAAATGCTCGAGTGACAGGCGGGTACACAGTATGAGTGAATGGGCTCGCCGTTTGATTTCGGTGAATTTCGGTGACGAACAACCGGTTGCTTGTGGGTCCCGTAAGGGTTAATGGCTGTGATTTTTAGAGGGAGGGAGACTTAACGCGCGTGTTCTACAACGACAACGACCAACCAACATTTAGTGCTTTTGGGGTTGTTTGGTTGCAGCTTATTGTCTATCCTGGTGGGTTCTAACGCATTAACACAAATTTCACTTTTCTGTAAACAAAGAAAAAGGAGGATTTCACTAATAAATCCATTTTAGCATGACTAGTTTCGGATTTTTTTTATCTAAATAGGCTCTATATGAGTTTTTGTATAATATGTCACGCTAAAATAGGTTTTTGAATAATTATCTCAAGAAAAAAAAAAGAGGTTCACATCCCTGAACGTAGATGGGGAGAAAATTTTCAGATTAGTTCTCCTTTCTGCTTTTAATTTTTCTTTTATAAAAATAATCTAATCTAATCTAATAAATAAAATAAATAAAGAGATAAAAATTAAAAAAATAAAAAACCCAAAAAAAAAAAAAAAAAAAAAAAAAAAAAAAAAAAAAAAAACAATATAATGTATATATATTATAAAAGTATAGCCGCATGGCTATACTTTTAAAATGTTCATATATTTACTATTTATGAAGTAATTTATGAAATCAGTAAAATATTGAAATACTAATTATTCATTAAAGAAATAATAATTAAAACATAATTACTAATTAAAGTAATTTAAAAACTAAGATATTACTTAAAATATTCGAATATATTGAAAGAGTATAGCCGTGCGGCTATACTGTAAAATATTCGAAGATTATAGCCGCGCGGCGATACGTTTTAAATATTAATATATTTTATAAGTATCTTATGAAAGCAGCAGCCTATTGAGAAAGTCTTAAAACTAGAAAAGCACCCCTAAGAAAGTCTTAAACAGAAACTCCAACTTGAGGATTGATTGTGGCATCAAGCTCCACAAAGCAAATGATTCCGAAAAAACCCATAGCATAACAAACTGACTCATATTTGTGGAAGGATGGGCAAGAGCATCCTTCTTCATTATCTATTGTATCTTCTGTTACAGACAACAAGGCATTTCAATTATATAAGATAAAAATGAAAGCGATCGATCTCAGCAATAAGGTCGCTCTATGCAATCCTTGGGGTGATGTAAAGGCACTGATTTATTGTTTGTAAAATTCACCGTTGCATATTTAACACACATTAAACAAGCTCAATAATCAGCAAGTGTCAATTTATTGTGTCTATCATAAAACACAAAAGACTTTATTAGGACCTTAGAAGTAAATCCTCTGTCATCAGATTTCTGATGTGAATTTTATACTTCTCATATGCATAATAAGTAGCTCATTAACTAACTACGCAAATAGAGCTCATTTCCTAAGAAGTTCATGCAATCACGTATGTTACATGAACTTGGGTATGGGAGTTAAGACGAGGGTCGATGCCCAAATATGTCATGGTTTGTCTTTCTTCGAAGGTCTTCTATGCGTCTGTAATTCCTAGCTCCCCTTACCACTTACCCGCGTCATGTCTTTGACTTGACATGGGCATAAGCCATCTTCACGAGCTCACCCAACCCAAACAAGTAGAACCTAGAGGAGGTTCCTTTTAAAATCCTCCTGAGCCCAAACGAGCACAACATAACATAGACAAAGTCAAAGCCATTGTATAAGCCAATATAAATATAAAAAGCCCAAAAAACAACCTCAGTTTTCAGCTTTCCTTCTATGATATTCAAGGAAAATACTTCTTTCCTTTTCATGTAAGTATAAACTCCTACATTTAGGCAAATATCAGTGTGACGTGTGCATAAGTTTTTCTTTTTGTGTTTTTTATGAATTATTTTTACATATGTATCAAACTGTGATTGACATGAAGGAGGAGTATCTCCTTACAGGAAAGGAGGCAAGTAATATCCCATATTAAAGGAACTCCTTAAGATTGAGGAGTAGCTCCTCCTTACGACTAATGTTGTTTTATCACGTGTCAAATTATTTTCTTTTTCTTTTTTCTTTTTTGTTGAAACTTTGTCAATGTTGCTAGAATTTGACATGGGCCAAAACCCCATTGGTTTTAAGGAGGAGTCCTCCTCAATTTTAAAGAGTCAAGTCATGCTCCATATTAAATTGGTTACCGCTTAGTTTAGGGAAAAACTTAACACCTTAAAATTGAAGAGGAGTTCCTCCCCACAACAAATGAAGTTTTGACACTTATCAAATTCCTTGAACTTTATTTTCTTTTGAATTTGTTTAACTTTTTTTTTTCTTTTCCAATTTTACAAGTGCCATTATCTTATTTGTTGTGAATCCTCCTCAGTTTTAAGGAGCCAAGCCATGTTTGTTTAAAGAAACCGTCCCATATATAATGTTTTATGTTTCTCTTTTATATATATATATATACACACATAGAGACGCATTTAAAAAAGTAAGAAATGAAATTCACACGAGAATAATAATAATAATAATCAACCTCAAAACTCTTGTATACAAGAAGCTCCCTTGGAGTATAAATGGAGGAGCAATCTAATTTGAGCAACAATAATAACTAGGTTGTTTAGTAGCCGTAACTTCATGGTCATCAATGTGGATGGTTTGCTTTGCAGCATGAAGACTTGGACTTGGAATGGTTTCATCCAGTTTAGCTTCCAAAATTTTCTGGCTTGTGATTTGATGAATCTTAGAAATCATATCCAAAAACACTCGCTCAACATTCACATTCTCTAAAGCAGAGGTTTCCATGAAACACAGGCCCTCCGTCTCTGCAAAATTTTTGCCTTCTTCCTCGCTAACCTCTCTAGAGTGACTCAAATCCAATTTGTTACCAGCAAGAACAATAACCATGTCGGAATTACCATATTCACGAAGCTCCCGCAACCATTTGCTTACATTTTCGAATGATAGTTTCCTGGTTATGTCATACACTAGGATGGCACCAAGCGCCCCGCGATAGTATGAACTAGTGATTGCTCTAAATCTGCGTGCGTCAAAAGTTATGAAACATTAATATTCAATTCAATAAGAGCATGCACTTTGATTTTTTCTTATTTGACACTACAGTACTCATGATGATGTTGCAAGGTGTGGTTTGTAGTTAAACTCAAGTGATTAGAGCAATTATGCATGCACTCGATGTTTGCGTTCGAATCTCTCCTCCTCTAATATAGCTTGTATCAAACAGTACTCATAATATGTTGCTTTATCCTATTTTATCATGTTAAAAGGCGATACTTTTTCTTTAATTGCGGCATAAATTGTTGTGGTGCAATGAAAGGAACAATTATCTACCTCAAGAATCCAAGGTTGACAAAGCAGGAAAGTAGGGTTGAAATTAATTGATTATTATGCCTAGTATTAAGTACAACAATCAGCCATTGTTTTAAGCTAAGTAGCAGCTAATAATAATATTAATAGCGGTGGTTCGTGAACTGCGATATAGTCATCAGTAGCAACAACGATAAAAACAGAGATGTCCCCGAGAAACAAATAAAGGAATCAGATAACAAACTTTAAACTATTTTTGAGCTTTGTAATGTAGTAGACTCGAAGAAAGGAAAAAGAAGGACAAATTTGGAATCATTGTTTTAGGTAAAAGGTCGGCCCCCACCATGGTGGAGTATTTTATTTAATTAGGATATAACTAGAACTTTTGACTCTAATGGGATGGGACCAAATGATAAAAGAGAGAGGCACGGTTGAGGAGTAGTGTTTCCTGTATCCATAATTTCATTCGGTTGCTTCAAAAGCTGGGAAACATAAAAACATCCATGAAGAAGAGAAAACAAAAACTTAAAAACAGTATATGAAAGTTTTGAAAATCGAGTAACATGACAAGTAGTAGTTCAACTTGTTGATCCAAGCAGCACAACTGAAGTTACATGATGTTCTTTGGCATATGAATCATATGATCAAATGAAAAAAGATGATCAAACTTAAGGAGGAGGAGGATGAGTACCTTTCTTGGCCTGCAGTGTCCCAAATTTGAGCCTTGATGAGTTTATCGCCCACTTTGATGTTCCGGTAAGCGAATTCGACTCCGATGGTGGGCTTGGAGTCTAAGCGGAATTCGTCTTTGGAAAATCTGGAAAGCAAATTGGATTTCCCAACTCCAGAGTCCCCAATCAGAACTGCCTTGAACAGATAATCACACTCTTCATCAATTGAATCAGCCATCAACATTAAAACTTAACCCAATAGCTATCTATAATAAATAAACAAGAAAAACTTAAACCAGTGGTTTTGAAAGGGAAAGGAAGGGGCAAAGCAAATCAGAATTGGGGAAGAGCCGTGTTCAAATGTATCATATATATATATATATATATATATAAGTTGAAGTTATAAGCTATGAACAAGCCTAAATCGATAGCATGGGGGAGGGAGGGAGAGTAATGAAATGAAAGGCACTTGCTTTTGGAGGGTACCGAGTCCTTTACATGTGACAACAATGAAAAAGACATGATGGCTGCTCCCCTCATCTTGTCGAGTTTAGTGCGTCTCATTAACATATTACTACTAGGACCAAACTTAATCTACACCCCTAAGTTTTTTCTTCTTTTTTTAGGTCTCATATTACCACCAAACTTAATCCATACCCCTAAGTTTTCTTCCACGAAAATTACCCCAATGGGTAATTGGGGTAAAACATTTTTCACTTATGGTTTCAGTATTTTACTATTTTTTCGACTCTATTATTGTAACACGCTGTAAGCTAATCACGGATCAGCTGCTGCTGCTGCTTTTGATCATGAATGTCAATGGGTGCCGAAAGCAGTTAGTATCTATCTTGTGATCTGATGCTTGTTAATAATTCCAAATCTTTCCTCTTCGAAAAACTAGCATGAATTTCGCATGATTAGAAGATACCTACCTGGGCATTGGACCTCATAACATAATCACGTGACACCACAGGGTCAGGACTCAGGAGACAGCCCACATTAGCCCGGCGTCCGCTTACATTTCCGTTTACAGAAATAAGTTGGGCTTAAATAGGAAGCCAATCAATTGTTTGGGCTTCATTTGAATTTGCCAAAAATTTCACCATCACGGAATCTTTTCCCCCCTCTTCCGTTCAATCTTATCTAAAATATTTCTTTTTCATCTCTTGTTTATTTAAACCTACCAAGTCATGGGTGGCTGGTGTCCTAGTAGTATCCAAAGCTTTTGATAAGCATGGGCAGACACCTCCAAATTAATGACCGAATTCCTCAATCGGATATCAATCTTTTAGGACAGAGGACCACAAATGGTAGCCCTACCCTATGAAAATCAGCCACATGTTATTTTCCTTAAAAGAGTAAGTTTGCCTTATTGCACTGCAAGCAACTGCAACCTCCACTTGAAAACCTTAATTTACTTTAAATTAATCTAATTTGGCTAAGTTTGCATACTCACATTCTGATCAATTGGTTTAACCTGCATCTGCCCCTTCGAATATATTTTGGTAAAACTTTCTTAAACATTGGCGTTCCTCTTTTGCATAGATAGGAATCATATAGTGCTTTCAAGTGTAAATAGCACTACAAAATAGAAGCTAGTCTTTGATTTCTGAAACTTTTCTTTTCTTTTTGGGTCAAATCCTGATTCCTAACTTTAGCCAAATTGGCAGCCCAACCATGTTTGGACTTTGGACCACGGCCTAAAATCACCATCACTATTATCGACAAGTTGTATAGTGAGTGAGGGCATTAAGCTCTGTTAACAGTTAGATTAAACTCTAATCAATTTAATCCAACAGTTAAGATATGGACGTACGGCCTTCAATATAGAATTCTCGCACTATTATCAGATCCATGTAATATCATCGTTGACTCGTCAACGCACGTTCTCACTGAGCCATTGGCGCATCTTCCCCTCCCACTACACAAGCAGCTTCACCGCCCACCAGGGAGGGCCACCCACAACCTTGTGCTCCTTCTCTACCGCCCAAAACTAATTCTTCTTACCAATGCTTCCTTAACATTATCGTCAAATTTGAACATACAAATCGAAATAAAATAAAACAAAACCGGTAGCGTCATAATATTTCATTGAGGGAGAGGATTTTCTCGCGAAACAAACAGAAAGCAAAGAACATAAATTTTGCCTCCTTTATAGTAGTGTGATTTTGAACAGCCCACAATATAATCACAGAAACTGTATATAAAAGAAAAGGAGGTGTTAGATCCTTTTTGCGCATCCACTTGATCTAATTTGGTATATAAAAACCCATTCCCAGAACGATTTTCCTAAATTTCAAAAGTCAACCCTAACTTTTAACTTTCACAGACGGGGGGAAGAAGAGAGATGGAGATTCGGATCTAACATATTAGACAAGAGACTACCATGTGCACTAGGCGTTGGTGTTGCTAACGGTACTGGCGTTGTTGCCCATCATCTTCTTGAACTCCTCGAAATTCACATTCCCATCGCCGTCAGCATCTACGGACTTGATCATCCGATTGCAATCTTCGAGGCTGCAAGTCATTTGGAGCCGATTGAGCACCAAATGGAGCTCGTTGGCCGAGATGAGGCCGTTGCGGTCCTGGTCGTAGAGATCGAAGGCGTCGCGAAGCTCGGCGGAGGCGCCTTCTTTGGGGCCGGAGACCCAGAAGGCGTTGAACTCGTCGAGGCAAATGAAGCCGTCGCGGTCGGTGTCGAGATCGCCCATGACACGCTGAAGCTCATCGGCAGAGACGTTGGAGCCGAGGGCCTTGAGCACGTTGCCGAGCTCGGAGACGGAGATCTTGCCGTCACCGTTGGCGTCGAAGCTTTTGAAGACTCTCTGAACCTCGTCGGCGACGACTGGCTTGGCGTCGACGGATTTTGGGGCTTGGGCTGGGCTTGGGGTTCCGTTGGTTGCCATGACTTGTGGTTTTGGTTCTGGTAGTTTGGTGTATAGAGTTTTCAGAATTGAAGAGAGAATGGGGGAAGTGTCGGGTATATATAATATATTAATGGGAGCATGGGGAGGTTAGGAGGGAAGGCATTTTTTGGAGCCACCAAAAAAAAAGCCGCCAAGAAAAGCGGGGAAAATTAGAGAGAAAAATACAGAGGGCCAAAAAATAGAAATATTATTATTGTGGTAAAGAAATGCGAAGGTAAATTAAGCAAAGGGAATCTTATTTGGGATCAAATTTCAAATAATTTCGAAGGGATAACGCGGCATCTCTGACTCTGAGGAGGAGCTTTTCTACGACGACATTCTAATTGGAGGAATACGTCGTGGAATCAATGGGCTACAGAAACTTTCTTATTTCTGTTTGTTTTATTTTATCGACTCCTTTTCTCTCTCCATCTCTCTGCCTCTTAAATGGGGATAGAGATGTATTTCTCCCTTTGCTGAATGCTGATGATATTTTAAGATTCTTTATATGGATTTTTCTTTTTGTAAAAAAAAAAAAAGAGAGTTAATTCATGATGAATCATGACTCGTAAGATAAAATAAGTGAATAAATTAAATTAGTCATGTCACATGGGCAGGTGGTCGTTAAAGCTCTCTCTTTCTCTCTCTCTCTCAGCAAATTAAAGTAAACGAATTATTTCGCGCGTCGACGCCAAGTGGTAGCGAAGTACACTCGGTTTGGACACGGTTTCAGTACTGCACAAATAACAAGCAACCGCGTCTTCTGTTGGTTTTGGGCCTTGCACAATGAAAAAAGAAGCAACACGTACCTGCCTTTGACGATGGGCTTGATTGATAAAAAAGAAAAAGAAAAGAAACAAGTTGTTCGTTTATTGCAGGGCGCAACATGCTAAAGGGTAGGTAAGGTATCAAGACTTTCCCTTTCTATTTTTGTATATTGACCAGGAGGCACGGAGTCTTTCTTTTTCTTTTTTCAGTAGTTGATGGATGCTGGTGGTACACAAAATAGGCCCTTTTTATTTATTATTTTTTATGTTTCTTCTTTCGGTTTTCTCTTTTTAATGATACAAACAATAGTCTAAATTAATCTAATTTATAAAGAGCGGAACTCAAACTTGAATAGGGCATATTTACTGTTTTGACTAATTGACCTAACCCGCTTATACTTTCAGTACACTATACGTATGTTATGACTCAAACCCAAAACCTTGCCTAGGAAAGCAATTGTTCCAAACTACTACACCAATGAGTCATTTCTCTCCTTTCGATTTTTAATAGGAGGAATGCTAGCAACCTTCTCTCTAACCTTCTCCTTTGGACCTTCTTCATTTTTTGCTTAACATGTGTCATTCTCCTTACACTTAAAACAATATTATTAATATATATTATACAAGTTAACTTTTGCTTTCCAAGTTTACCCTTATTAAATGTATTCAATTTATCCCAAAAAATTTCACAACTTTCTTACCATCTTATTTATTTTTCTTAAACGTCAATTATTTTTTTAAAGAAAATGTTTGCTTTTTTCAAAAAAGTAGAAATGTCCCTTTTTTTTATAAACACAGAGGACTTTTTTTTTCATATCTAAACCCTTTGTGTTTTTTTTTAAAAAAAGGGACATTTCCTCTTAAAAGCATATATTTTCTTTTAAAAAATTAATAAGATAGTAAGAAAGTTATGATTTTTTTGTTGTTGATAAATTGAATACATTTAATAAGGGTAAACTTGGAAAGCAAAAGTTAGCTTGTATAATATATTAATGACATTGTTTGAAGTGTAAGGAAAATGACACATGTCAAGCAAAAAATGGAGAAGGTTAAAGAGAAAGTTGCTAACATTCTTCTTACTATATGTCTAGTTTTTTGCACTAATTTTGACGGACCAATAAAATGGTCCACAAAATTTGACTGAAAACAGAGAATATACTGTACATTTTACTATTGGTGAAGCAAACACTTCACTCGACTTAACAAAATGAACTGGACTTGAGTTGTTTTCCAGAAACAGCCAGGCTCAACTTTTCAGTATTTTAAACTTCCAAAGAGGGTGATGGATGGTGCTTAAAAAGTTGATGAACAAATCCCAACCTGGAGTACTTTCATGAGGGCTGGTTTTTAGCTTCTGTAGAATACACCATTGCAACCTCATTCCCTAGACGACAGAATCCAAAAATATGATCTTGCACACTGCAAAAATATATACTTGTATGAAAATCCCGAATTCGTAATTTGATTACTGCTTTTAAATAAATCTCTGTGTGCCAATCCCTACAATCAAATTTCTTATCCTTTCGCTCTAATCTGTATGCTACATAAACACTTTACAAAGACTAACCTCCATGTTGAATTCCTACCTCAAATTGAAAACTTCTGAGTTTATTGCAACCTGAGTTCTATGAATTACCATCCTTAGATGAATGATCTGCAGAAAAAATCCTAGCCATCCGTGACCATCCGTTCTCTATTTCAACAGTGTTTTGGCGTTCAGCTAGTTCATTTGCAGTTTCTTTAACCTTTTCAAATCACATTATGCCAACAAGATCCCATTGTTTCTTCTTTGTTACTGCTCTCTTGGTTCAGCTTTTCTCCACTTTCACGCATTTTCTTACTCACCTATGGCCCATTTATGAATTGCAAAGTTGAATCCTCAGCACAAAGCTGTTTCCTCGCATTGCCATGTAACTTGTCAAGAATCCTCCATGTCACAGAATCTGGAGCCAGTCCATTTCTTCTCATCTCTTTTACAACTTCATACGCTTCTTTCTTCAAACCTAATTTGCAAGCGGCGTCAATCACAATGTTATAACTGTAAATATTTGGAGAGACCCCAGCATCTACTAGTTCGTAAAGGAAATGGCATGCCTCATCAAACTTTCCTGATTGGCAAATCCCTTTGATAATGGCTGCATATACAAAATTATCGTGGATCTTTGAGGGCCAAATAACTTCATCCCAAAACCTCTTAGCCTCTTCTATTTGATCAGAGTCACACAACCCATCAATTATTATAGTGTAGGTGGTACTGTCAGCAGCCACACCATCACTTACCATGCGATTGAAAAGTTCCATTGCCTCTCTTGCTTGTTTATGCTTGAACAAACCACGAAGAACAGCATTATATGTGACGACATTCGGGCTAAAACCTTTCTCAGGCATTACATGGTACAGTAGACCAAGTGCTTCTTCGGTTCTTCCAACATTCAATAAACCACTTATCATAGTTGTGAAGGTCACGACATCTGGGGCACAAAACTTTCCAGTCATCATATCATTTAGTACCCTTGAAGCTTCCTCAATTCTCCCCATCTTGCACAACCCATTGACAATTATGTTTAGGGTGATCACGTCAGGCTGACATTGGGTCTGGAGCATAGAAACAAGTCCATTCAAAAGCTCAGTTGTGTTGTTCATAAGACATAGCGCTCTCAAATATATGTTATACATCCTAGTTCTGTCCACTCCTTCCTTACTCAACATATAATGAAGAACCTCCCTTGCCTTGTGGGGGTCTGATTCTTGACAAAGACCTTCCACTAGAACCTTGTACGTGTACTCAGACGGAAAATAACCAAATTTAATTCCTTCCTCTAGCAGCTGATAAGCCCTCATACAACCTCCCTCCTTGCTTAGTCCATGTAAAATAGAATTATAGGACGTTAGCTTTGGAGCAAACCCTGCATTCCTCATGATGTAAACAATCCTTGACGCTCCGTGATGCCTTCCGGCTTTACAAAGCGAGTCTATCATTTGTCCATAAGCAAAGTCCTCATTCACACTCTTCCCTTGTGGCATGTCTTCCGCAATGCCAAACACTTCTTGAAAATACCCTTCTCTACACATAGAATCGATGAGATTTGCAAAAGCCGCAGATTTTACAGTCGTATCATCCTCACCTTTCATTATCTCCCAAAGTTTGCCCATCCAGTCCTTGGCACGCCCAACGTCCCTCTTCCGAAGAACACCGCGAATCATCACGCTATACGTGAGGGAATTGGGCGCTACGCCCTTTTCACCCATTTCGTCGAACACCTTCTGGGCATCACCTAACTCGCCAATAAGACAGTAGCCATTAATCAAGGTAGTGTAAGAAACAGCGTTGGGACAATGCCCTCTACTGAGCATGTCAAAGAACACTCTGTGAGCCTCCCAGGGCAGCAAGAGCAAGCAAAGTTGATCCATCAAACGATTGTAATTAATCAAAGAGGGTACAAATTCAGGCTTAACATGACTCAAACGGTGAAGAAGACGCAATGTGGTATGTGGGGTTTGAGAATCGAGCAACCGAGCGACGATGACATTGCAAGTGCGCTCGTCGGGGACACAATCCGAAGCAATGGAGTGGGCAAAGCGGTGGTGGGCTTCCGCGAACCGATTGGAGTCGCAAAGAGCGTGAAGAATGCTGCTGAGGTTGAGGGAGTCAGGACGGTAGCCGAGAAGGCGGAGGCGGTCGAGTAGGTGAAGGGCTTGGTCGACGTTGCGGTGGGCGGTGCAGAGGGTGTGAATCTTTTTGGTCCAGTAAGACCTGTTGTCTATGCTTGTTTGGTCTTGGTCGCCGTCTTGTTGGTGGTGTTGTGGTTGTTGATGATGATGAGAGGGTTGGGTGGGGTGTGTAAAGAGGAAAGCAAGAGGGATGGTTATGGTTTTTGGGGTGATTTGTGTCTTGGTTGATGATATATTTGTGAGGAACATTTCATGCTTGTAATATGCAGCATATGCTGTTGTTGAGTTATAAAACTCTCTCTAGTTGTCTTCTCTACCATGCAAGAAAGAATGTGGGGGACAAACTAACAGCACGTGATAACACCGAAGAGTCTCTGATATTTGGGCCCAGAGAAATAATGGGCTCATAGCTTGAAGCACAAAATTTCTTAAAGTTAAAGGGTTTGGGCCACAAACACTAGATTTGGACATAGGCCTGGATTTGGAGAAATATGCTTATCATAGAAACATATTCAGGCTCGTTTGGGATTGCTTATCTAAGAAACACTTATAACAAAAGTGATTTTATTATAATAATATTGAAATTTTCATTAAAAATTTAAGTGCTTTCTAAAAAAGCACTTGGGAGTGCTTCCTGAAGAAGCACATGGCATGTGCTTCTCTAGAAAGAACTTCTATAACCCATAAGTTCTTCTAGACTTTTATGTCAAATACTGTCATAAGAGCTTTTAATTGTCAGAAAGCACTTCTAAAAACACTCCCAAACAAGCCTATAGTATCATAGTGGAGAAAGATGAAAAGAATAAGACAATTAAACGGAAATAGAAAAGTTAAATAGGCCTTGGTTTGCCCTTGTTTGTTTGGGGCAGTGTAGCATGGGAAGAAACTGATATTTCATTTGGTTAATAATTGTACGGATGACTGAATCCAAAGTGAAATGTCATAGGACGGCTCATGTCAGAATTTTATAATTATTATTCTTGGAACTTTTCACAACATACACATAATGTTGGATTCCATATAAGATCCATAATTTTGTTGTTGCAACACTCACTCTGTAAATAATGCATAAAGAAAATTGAACAGAGCTCCACATGCCTCCCAACTCTACATGTTTTTGCCGAAGTAAGTACCCATATAATATAATTGATATTATTCATGAATGACGGAACAATTCATGAATGAATGAATGAATGAATGGGGAACATGAGGCCGAAAGAGAGTCAAAGATTTCCGCAAATATCGAAGGGTCCAATAATGGTGCTGCCCTGCCACGAGGGCCAAACACCCAGCTGTTTCCCTCCATCGTCCATTGTCCATTGTTATGTGCAGTGCAGAGCAGAGCAGAGGTTCTCTTCTCACGTGAATATCACATTCTTATTAATCTCCTGTCCTGACTCCTCACAAATTATATATGTTATACGTGAAAACTGAAAACCTTACCAAATCTTAATACGCAACCGAGTCACACAAAACTGCTGCAACTCTAAAATGTCACATACTCTAATTAGGTTAGTTTTTTGGTGAATTAGTCAAAGTAAAAGTTGTTCGGTCTTGATTGCGTTGTAGTTGTAACTTGTAGGAAGGAAGGTTTTAGGGTTTAGGGTGGTGGTGCGATATTTATTTAAAAGGAAGATATATATAAAGCCAAGGGCAAGGACCATAAAAAGAGATGAACATTAGCAGCGCCAAGTCTGCAGACAATTGGATACCAAAACTGGCACGCTTTTCAGCTCATAGATAACAGAGAAAACCGGCTTTACCAAAATACCCATCATTTTCTCGTCTAATCACAGCAAAGTAGCTAGCATTGCTGGCAAGCAACAGGGCTACAACATCACCACAAATACAATACAATACATCATACACGCTAATAAAACCCACTCAAATCTGAAGTTAACAGAGCATTAACTCAGTATTAATTAAGTAATTAAGTAGCTAATTCAGATTAGAAAGATGAGATCAAGATCAACGGTGGTGAGGGCAGAAGGTGACCACGTAGTTGCCGCGAGTGCAAGTGGCAATGCTGGTGGGATCATCATAAGCATAAGAATAAGCTTTTGGACATGCAGCTTTGAAGATCTTGGAATAAGCCGTGGGCTTGCAAGACTGAGGGCTCCCAAAGCTGCCAGTGCAGCAATACCTGGGCGAGTTGAAGGCAGAGCAAGCGCTTTTGCAAGCCACCACTCTCCGGTTGTCATGAGACCGCACTTGGAGTCCCACAGGGCACATCATGTTCAGGTCGCTGATGCACCCGGCGTAGCTGCACTTGCCGGAGCCTTTGAACGGCTGGATGGAGATGGCCAGGTTGTACCCGTCGACGAGGCTCACGTCGTAGAAGTCTTGGTCGTTGCCAAGGGTGATCTCGGCAAGCGTGGCGGGTGGGGTCCCGCCGAGGCCGCTACAGAAGAGGTTGCCGCCGCAGTCACCGGTGGCGCAGCGGCCGCGGCCTGAGGCGTCGAAGGCACAGCCGTGGCGGCCCCAGAGGCGGCCGGACCAGAGAGGCGGGAGGTGGAGAGTGTAGGCCTTGTTGGGGGGGAGGGTGAAGCCTCCTCTGGCTAGGATGGGCTGGCCTGCGCTGGGCTGAATGCCTGGCCACACTGGGTGGCTGCACTTGTTGTGCATTGTTATTGTGGTGGCTGATGAGACTTCAACTGCAAATAGATTAAGTTAATTAATAATTAGCCAAGAGAAGGAGATCCAAGGTAATATCCAGTTCCAGTCACATTGCATTTGCTATTAGTTTAAAAGACATAATTATAAAGAAAAAGTCACATTTTGGTTAGAGAGAGAGAGTATATAAGTGTGTACCTAGAACGTGGAGAAAGAGGAGGGTGGAGAGCATGAGAGTGAGGTTACACCTCAGTAAAGCAGCCATGGCTGTAGTTAGAGAAAAGAGGAAGAGATTAGAAGAAAACCGGGTTGCTCTTCTTCTCCAAAGCCCTGTGTACTGAGGTGGGGTTTTATAGAGGAAAAAGGTGAGAAGGGGGTAAGTAAAGTAAAGGTGAGAATGGTAGGGTTGAGTTATTTCTAAAGACTTCACTTGCGGTGTTGTGCTTGTGAGTGAGTAGAGTGGGTAATTTTTTTGAAATTTGGAAGAAATTAAAGAGGTGGTTGGAATGAAATAATGTGGGGTATATGTATGCAATGAAATTACAAGCAAGACCCTTTCTCTCCTCCTTGACCTTTGAGTGGTGAAAATACCTCAAGGAGTGTGTGAGTGAGTGAGTGAGTGAGGGCTGACAAAGTGCTCATATTTCAAGAATGTTGTCAGAGGGTAAGTGGGGGAAAGTTTGTCTGCATCCCATAAATAAAAAAGAAGCCTTAAGCTATACTAGTACCAGACCAGTACTGCTTCACCTATTCACATGTTCGGAGAAAGAATCAGTCTGCTATGGACCTCTGGTAAATTGGTAATGGTACCCTGTCAATATCAAGGGAGGCTTTAGAATGAATACCTACGCACCAAAACAAACATGAAAAATAAAAATCTGCAATGTTAATTTTAGCCTTAAAAAACTGTGAATAAAACTAAGGGATATTTTCTGCTTTTAAAAACCAAATAATGTATTGTAGGCTCTTATTAATGGCGCCTGAGTTGATGTTGATCAGTAAATTCATGTGTGTCTATACTCAAAATACCTGCAAATATACAAATGGTCTGACTCTGACCCTTCATCAGATCTTACCAAAACGCGTTTAAAAAATCAACGGCTTAAATGTAAATCTATTGGGCCAGTGCAGTTCCCCAGTACCTGCACAACGATGATTTTAATATTATGCGTGGTGACCCTCCTCGCCTCAGTCCTCAATTGGAATAGTCCCAAGAGATTCTATTCAGAATACTTGTCGTTTCATGTACTGCCCACATATTAGTATACTATATCTATTCTTTTGTACTCGATTGATTCATAGCGGTAGATCTTCGCTATCAGACAGAAACACCATACTAAGGCCCATCATCATGTAATTACTTTTATTGTTTTTTTTTAAATACAAGCGATAGTCTAGATAACAAAGTAATGAGAATTTCTCACACACACACATAACTAAAGTAACATTGGGATTCAAACCAAAGTATCGTGATGTTCGAAAATAAAATTACTGATCTGCAAGTTAAGATAATTTTCTACGTTGCGAATTTAACTATTCTCTTTTTTCATCGGGTTCTTTGTCTTTTCTTTTTGTTGGGGGGTTAGTCCAGTTTCAGTACAAGTAGAAGATTCAATCATGTGGTCTGGGCCAGAAAAGGACCAAATTTGTGGACTTATATATGTTGGGCTAAGTGGATTTTTGGTAGGCTCATTTCAGCATGAACAATGTCAACTTCAAAGCTTATTTGGTTTTTCTATGAGCTTGGGCTTTGGGCCTGGACAGGATGAACAAAGGTGGCGTTCTTCGTTCGTATTTGGAATTGAGTCGAGAAGCTGTGACTAGGGTCAATCACAGCAATCAGTCAACGACGAATTAATGTTGAAGCCCAAATGCTAGCCTCACCAGCAACAAGTCGGCAACAAAATTAACTAAGAGAAGTGAATTAATTGATGTTTTTCTACATAGGTGATAGGTTCACATTTGAAAAATGATATATATTTATTTTATTTTATATTTTATTTTTGGAGATTGTGCTGCTCCTTGATTTTCAACTTGCTGCTTATAATAGCCTTGGAAAATGAAATATTAATAAAGAAAAGGAAAAGCGGGTCGAAACGTTTATGAAGATATTCAAATATTGTGTCAGAGGGGGAGAGACGACTAGTCTGTAGAGGGAGAGAGAGAGAGAGAGAGAGAGAGAGAGAGAGAGGAGAAGAAGAAAAAGAGATGATGACCTCATAATAAGTTAACAAAAGAAAGAGTGGAAGAGAGATCACATGAAAAAATTTAACCATTATTTGAGGTAAATTGTGGTTTTTGCTTTCAGACCAAAAACAAAAAGCACTCTCTAGGTATTGTCAAAATCCGCAGCAGCAGCCTGTGCTGTTTTCTTGCCAGCCTCAGTCAATTCTCTGCTCCCTTGCTCATGCATCTTCTTATTACCTACACTACATATATCTTAATTTCTTTTTTTCTTTTTTTCTTCAAGCTAGGTTACATGGTAAATAACGAGATGCTTTTTCTTTGATGGGAGAGGGGTCACACACATATATTTGGTCCAAATCTGGGCGACTGAATTTGAATGGAACGACACGCACACGCAAACATATGTTATATATTATCAGAATATACAAGGGAAGGGGACCATTTAGTACATGAAATAGGCAAGCAAAGCTTTCAGTACGTATATATAGCTAGCTTGCAATGCATAATGCATTTAAATTTGGTTTCCCATTTGATGGCCATGGAATGGTGGTGGAGAATCTTCCAGGAAAGGTCCGAAAGGAGAGTTAAAACACAGTTTGGTGTCTGTAAAATTTGTACTGTTCTGACAGAGTCTTAGTTTTATAGACATGGTTTCATTCGTTGCATTATATACATGCATGGTAAATTTGACCTCAGATCCATTAGGCATATATGTAATAAGCAAAGCTTATGCACATGCTCCTTGTTGTTTTTGTTTATCAATTCATGACAGACAACTTAAGTATTCCATATGCTCAGTTATTCTTCTCATTTTGCTTTTTTAATATCTGCATGCCCTATGCCTTGGTCTGTATTGACTATCAATATTATTGATGTGACTATAAATTCTCTGTGACTTGAGCTTATATACTGTACATAAATTTGACTGTCTCTCTCTTTAGACCATGTTAAGCTGCTGCTGCATTTGCATTTGACTCACTCAACTGTCAAAACTCCTAATTTCAAGGTATGAGATTAGAAAGGAAGCAGAGGTTACATTTTGCAATTTGCATGCATGAAAGACAGACACATGTATATATGTTGAGTTGTATCGTTGTATGTGTGGAAAATCTGATGGGTCTGTAAACCACAGGGACTGTAGAAAGTACCAACACAGTTACACAAGGTGTCAAACAGTGAAAAGGGAGCTCAAAAGGAAGAAAGAAAAACAAAAAGGACGACGCGCTTACTGCCGAGGAGGAACCATCGTCAAATGAACGTGATATATGTTATCTATCTCATTTTCCAAATATTATTATTATTATTGTTATTAATTTTGAATGATAATAATGAATGAGGCCCAGCTGCAAATCTGCATGCTTGTCAAGCAGCATATTGATGATATATATAGCTAGTACAACTGCGCTGCGTTGTAATTTCTAAAGCTATAATAAGTCGGTTTGTCCCCTCTTCCCTCTTTCTTCTCTGTCTCTCTCTCTCTGCAACTCTCTATCACTAGGCTTGCTTGTCATGAGATACCAACAAAACGTACCATATATTATTTACATATCCCTGCAAGCACAGACAATACAAGCCTCACCCTTTCTACTTGTCTCTCTTATTGCATATATAAAATATTTTTATCAGAATTCAGACGCTGAAAATCCTTCAATAATATACCTATTAAATAGTTGTTTTTTTCTTTCTCATCACCTCACCTTTATACACCTGATAAAGTTTCAACATCAGTCAAATATATGATGTAGCATGCACATGTTAGGTATGCTTCAATGGGAGGTTGTGAAATCTCAAGGTACGCTAGCTAGCTCTAGCTGTAATTAAATCCAGAGAAAGAAAACTTTTTAGCCAAATACTGTTTTTTCATTGGTTGTTTATTTTTCTCTCGCACGTGAATACAAAGTAATCTGAAGCAGCTGCTGTTGATGTTGATAAATGTTTGAAAGCCGTAATTAATTAAGTTGACAGGTCTTTGGATTGGAGGGATTGTGGTCCAGTTTTTACAGTTTTATTTGTCTCTGCGTTGATGGTGCTAAGAAGCACCATTGTTCGAACGACCGCAGTAATAAATCTTCCGTCTCTATAAAAGTTTCGAGGTCCGCCATTGATGACCGCACACACAAATATGTCCCTTGACCATAATTCTACATGAAGAAACCTCTCGTTTTAAAGATAATCTAAAAATGAATCCATATCTAGCTCTCAATGGAAAAAAGTATATATGGAGTGGATTGATATCACAAATCGACGTTTGATCAAACAACTTTGCTTTCAGAAATTAAGACATGAAGAGGTACAAGAGCAAGGAAAGTCTGGATCTAAACAGCGACTTTGGTTTTACAACTTTACCAGTTGCTACTATTGCACCATAATTTTGCATTCAATTAGGAGACAATATTATTAAAGAAAGAAGATTCATATTAATTGCAGTTGCTTTGATCTTAGTTAGTGGGGGCCGGATCCCATTTTGCACTTTGGCTTGGGGAACATTATTTTAGATTCTGTTATTCAAGACTAGGGTTTCATTTCATCTGTGACGTGTTGTTTTATTTTTATTTTACTGTTTCTGTTTCTTCCTCATCAGAGAAAGTTTGGAAATTTTTTGTTTGAAATGCAGTGCAGCAGTGTAGTACAATTTCAATTGTTTAAGAGTTTTGTTTCTTCTTGGGTCAGAGGATGGTCCTGGATTCGTTTTCAAAGTAGAAGTAGTAGGCAACTATTAAATGTATGGAATGTGTGCATCGCATCATTACCATATCATTTGCTAAATTTGTAACAAAACAACAAAACAACTCTCGAACCTATATTCTTGGTCACTTCAACATCATTCCAGGTTTCACATCTAATTAATTAATCAATACAAATACAATTCCCATCTCTCTCTCTCTCTCTCTCTCTCTCTCTCTCTCTCTCTCTCTCTCTCTCTCTGATATCAACATCAAACCCTCTGGTCTGAGGTCTCTCCCTCCCATGCATAATTTCATATGCATCCATTTATATTTCGAATCCCATCATTCGAGAGGACCCCAACCCAACTCTGAACTCTTTATGTATCTGTCTCATGATGAGTCATGAATATATATCTACACATGCATGCATGCATGCAAAATCACATGACACATATATCCACAGTTACTTAAACAAGGTCCGTTTGTGTGGATGGACATGAAACCTCTGCAATATGCTTTAATGTTAGTTTTGCATTGATTCGACCGACATGGTCCAGATGCATTTTAAGGCAACCTTCTTCCTTCGATACCATTTTCCATTGCCATTACACAACACAACTCCCATGAAAATGAAATAATATGTAACATCAACAACAACAACAACAACAACAATTAATAAATAAAAAAACACTTCCCCTTTTCCAATAAAATAATAATAAAATCTCCCATGTCATCATCATCTTACATATCATATATATATATAGCAGATAATTAAGTGCATGGTTAGTAAACTAATTAGTTCTTTAAGGGAAGAAACTCAAAAAAAGGGTAAGGCTGAGCTCTACTGAAGTTAGCCGATAGCTCTGCATGATCCTTTTCGAGGTTGGCATTGGCATTGGCATGGCCACTTCGAAGTGGAAAGAGTTGAAGGGTTTGAGATTCCCCACAGCCATGATCCCGTTCAACGTTGGTGTTGTGGTTTGGGTGGTTAAAGTTAATAAAACCAGATTCTTCTGATATTGATGAGTAGGGTGTTAGAAGGATGCTGAGATCATGACCCTTAATGAGCCTTTGGTCCACTGTTCTTACTGTTGCTGCCCTGCTTCGCCTGCTGCTTGTTAAATTATCAGTACTATTTGAGTTAGCAGTAGAACAAGTAGGGGTGTTTATTATGAGGTGGGTGGGAAGATGAGGGTACTGAGGAGGAAGAGGAGAAGGAGGAGGAGGACAAGACAACTGCATCATCTGCCACGTGGCATTCCTTTCTACAAAGTTTCTTCTTTGCTGCAATTCTTCTTCATCGAATTGGATCCATCCATCCGTCCTGCACTCTGTTGCTGCCACTGCTGCTTTTGCTGCCCTTTGTATTGAAACAGATTCCTGACCCATCATCAAAGCCATTTCAATATACATGTACATTCATTTTATTTATTTATTATTATATACATTAAAGGCCTAGCATAGCATGCATGAAAACTCATGATCTGATATATCAAAGCCAATTCCTTTTTTCTTTTCTTTAAAGTATTCAACAAGGACACAACAAACCCATGATACTATCAACTGATATTCAAATTAATCCAAGGCCAAGGGCACATATGATGATAATATGGTTCATCAAGTGAAATCCAAGCCAATATGTATAGGGTTAGCATTGTCTTTTTGGTACCAATCCCAAGCCAGGGTGCTCATTTCTATAGAACATATATCAGACCAGAGCAGTGCATGGGTGCTCCAATCACAAGTATGGTCTGTGGGCAAATGACTTGAATGTATAAGCACAAGACCCAAAACCCCAGCTAAGTTTCATAACAGCAGCCCCGACAGAAAGGAAGGAATGGCAGCTTTTAGACCCTTTTCATTTCCCAACAAACAAAGCTTTTGTTAGTAGCTACCTTTGCTTACCCATAGCCCTTTGCTTCCTTTCCTTTCATACAAACTACACATTACAATATACAATACAATACAATACAAGCATCTCCTCTCTATATCTATCTTTCTTTTTACAACTTATGTGCAGAGTATTGCTTTTCCCTCATCAATCTTTAATTTAAAGTCAATAGTCAATATGATGATGATATAATCATATGCAAATTATCTGAGCCGCCTAATTACTATTTATTTACTAATCACAAGACTACTTTTTTTAGAGAATTTTGATTTGAGGAATTCCAAGTGATTGATAAAAGGAGGACAAAGGGTACCAATACCAAATTTCAATATACGAAGAAAGATAGACAAATAAATGCAAATGAAGAGAGAGAGAGAGAGAGAGAGAGAGAGGAATTTAAATAATAATAGACCTCTGCAAGAGTAGTACTGCAGTTTGTAGAGGGTGCCCAGTTCTTGGTCCGTTCAACTTCAAACACTGTCCTACTTGCCCCTGTAGTGTGTGGACATAAAGAAAAACAAAAAGAATACGACTTTACAACATGCATCGATCCATATCTCTCAACTCAATTCCCAAACAACAAACAATTCGAATATTATATACTGGATTTTATATTATTCAAAGCTAAGCACCAATACATAATATGTATGTATATATATATGTGTGTGTGTGTGTATATCAATAAAAACATATCCTAGCTTAGCAACATTAAAACAAAAGAAAAAAAAAAAAAAAAAAAAAAAAAAAAAAAGGATGGAAATGGCCACACACTCAAAGTTGAAGCAAACAGACAAACATCTCTAACTAACTACTTTCCTTCTAAAACATACATACATAAATAAAACAAAAACATTCTAGCTAGTGAATTACTAATATCATTGTATAATGTGGGAACGTTGGGTTTCATGATCAGTACCTAATGATTCTTTCTTTTGATGATCTGTGGATGACAATGATATTTCGTGATCTGGTTGGACAGAGGGCACGGATGATTCCATCTGACGGCGACGTTTCTGTCTTTCTCTGGCCTTATGATTTTGGAACCAATAGAACACATTCTTCCCCTCTATCTTTCCATATTTTCGAAGCTGCGCTGTGATGTGCTGAATTTGCTCAGCCGACGGGGTTCGAGTCCCTCGTCTGTACAATTCTTCCAGAGCCCTCAACTGCTCCGGAGTTGGGTTCCATCTTGAGCTCACCACCACTTGCGGTGTGTTGATGAACTCTGATCTCTTGTTTTGTTCAGCCATAGCTGCAATAAATATATTAATTAACACTACTCAAACAAACACGTACGACAAAAAACAAATTTGAAAGGCAAAAATAGATCAAGGGGAAGATTAGGTAGCTAGCTAACTAGTGCATATATATGTATACCGGCGAGATGGTGATACTGAGTGAAGAAATCATGAGAGACGCCATGAATTCGGTTTAAACAAGGAGGAGTTGCAGCAGTGACTGAAGAAGTGGCGTTGTTAGCAGATGGCACGAGTGGCCGTGGAATGAGAGGCCGAAGCTTCCGACCGTTGAAAGAATCAGGCATGTTGAAATCAGCATGCCCACTCTCGTTATAACCCATCATCCACATTTTGATTGTTGAACACAGTGAAAATATAAACAAGTAGCCAAGAGCTAGGCTCTACTTACTTCTCTCTTTCTGTGTCACCCACCTCTCTCAGAATCCCAAGGTATATAATGGCCTTAAAAGGTGAATATATACATATAAGTAAGTATATATGTTAAGGGAACAAGAACAAGATAACAAGATAACAAGAACAAGGGGAGGTGGTAGTAACTAATTATAAAAAAGGGATGGTAGCCTAGGTAGTTTGAAATCGCTTCCCATTTGAGGTAATGGTGTGATGTGGTATGAAGAATGGTGGTAGAGTTACAAAAATGGGAAAACTAGCATGCAGCAAGGTATTGTGGGAATTGGAGCGGGTGTACTACTACTACAACTGTTGCTGTTGGAAGTGATGGAGAATTGGGAGATGGATGGATGATGGGGATTTAAAATAGGGTGTTGCCTAGCTGCCTCATATAGGCATTGTAGGCATTGTTTATATTTGGCATATATTGATGCGATTAAAGAGAAAGGGAGAGAGAAAGAGAGAAGGTATTGTTGAAAATGGGTTAGTTGAGCTGAATCAGTGATGTAATATTTGAGTTTCAGACATTCAGAGATGGGGATTGATCACTAGCTAGCTATCACATATACTATATGGAATTCAAAGAGAGAGAGAGAGAGAGAGAGAGAGAGAGAATAGTGTGTTGTGTGTGTTTTTTTCTGGTCTGAAATTATAGTGTTGGTTTAATACGGAACAACAAAGTGAGCCAAGACATGAGGTTGACTAGGCGCCCTATACAATATTTTATTTAATTTAGAAAGAAAAACTGTGTGAGAGAGAGAAGGAACGGACAAAGGAAAAAAGAAAACAAAAGCACAGAGAGAGAGAGAGAGGGAGCAGAGCTGTGTGGAAGGAAAGGAAGATGAGAGAGAGAGGAAGCGTGGAATTCTGGGAGGACATCGGGAGAAGCAAATGAAAAACGACGTGACGATCATGAGGGTTATCATAAGCCTCATCACCTTCCTCTTTCCCCTTTCCACCCTTTTCCCCTGTCTCTCTCTCTCTCTTGCTCATTTATTGTTCTCTTCACGTCTCGTGCCTTTCACACTTATTCTCAATCCGAACTGCCTGCCTGCCTCCCTCCCTCTCCCTCTCTGCTCTGCCCTGCTCCCCTCCTTAATTAATCTCACCCTTTTTTCTTGTCGACATATATACTACTATACTATACTTACTATAAGCTCAAGCTCCATCCATCCATGCTTGCCTTCCCACATTGCTACATTTCCACACACACAGACTTAAACACGTAAGGCCATTTGGTGCCTAAGATTGGATTGGATAAGTTACAAATTTAAATCTAAGGCATGTTAAAGAAGAAAATGACAGTATAAGTGAATAATTTTCCATTTTGGATGATTATGAGGAATAAGTTATAAGGTGTTAATTAGTATCCTACTTAAAGAGTAATCCGTACCTTCAACTTGGTCAAATTGTTTTCATTTCTTCTTTAAATATGCTTTAATTATAAGAATTTATTATATCCAATCCAATACTATACACCAAACGAGCCCATTTACTTATCGCTTACAAGTTACCGCAAAGACAATAAACATATTGCTTGCGCTTATATCTGTCTCAGCTGCCAGATTTAATAATGTAGCTAGGTACGGATCCTCCTTCATCTTGCATGGCATTCCCTTTTCTTTTTTTAACCTAGATAGCTAGCTAGCTTTCACTTGCCCAACAGATTTGATATCCAATCCCATTGTACTCTCCACTGTCCAATCATATTCTATATATAAAATTTATTTTGTTCTATATGTGATGCTCCTGCGTACACATATCAATTCTATGTGCATGTGATTTGTCCTTTTGGGGTGTCGGATATGTATATGTTAAAACGAGAATGCACCGATACCTTTACTTTACGTGCTGCCAAATTTACTGTGTATAGAGCTAAGCTAACTTATTTGGATTCTTCCTTCCTTCTTCCTGCCTCCTGCCACCTCTATTTATTAATGAATTCAATTGAATTGAATATTTTCCGGGTCCATATCTGAGTCCATGTCCTGCATGCTGGGCAATTAAGTTGCTGCTGCTGCTGTTGGGGGAAAAAGGAAATACGCAGCTTTGAGTTTCACCCCAGTTGCTCTGTATGTATTTATCTTCAAGATATATACATATACATATACATACACATAAGCCCTTCCTCTGTCATTATGATGGAATGACTCAATTCTCGAGTGCACTTACTACTGCACTGCACCCTCTCTCTCTCAATCTCTCTCTCTCTTTCTCTCGGATTTCAAACCCATATTATCATATTCATATAATTGTTTCATTATTCATTTTTATCTTTTTGTTGGTTACAGGCCCTACTTCTCTGCAATCTCAAGCTACTATATGTACTGTATGCATATGGATATATATATATATATATATATATACACACACATATAAAAACACTGAATGAAAGTGAAATGTATGCATTCACATGCAAAATACCAGTATTTTATATCAAAATGTAAATATATAGGACGATGCGAGTCAAATCAAACCCCTCTCACTCTCTCTTTTTTTCTTTCTTTCTGAAATAAAACAATACGATGCTGGTCTAGGATTTAGGAAGATAACTCCAATAACTGTAAAGGGTCTAAAGAATGTGTTGTCATCTCTACTCACAGGAAAAGAGAAAAAAGAAAGTCTCCGTTGGGGGTTTTGCCCCCTTCACACTAGAAAATAAACATAAAAACGAATGATTGGTCAAGGCATCTGCTGTTAGTTTAGTTTGCACTATTATCCGGTTAACAGTATGTAAATCGCCCAGCAGCAGCAGCAGCTACGAATGTGTAATAAGTATTCTTGTCGAACGTGTTGACATTTTGGTAGGGCAAATATAATATAATTAGTGTTACAGAAAGCCAGGTTCTGGGCCTCCGAGGCTTTAATTCATTGCTTTTACGAGCTCAAATTCTTAAGCTAGAGCCTGGTTAGGTATACCTCTCTAAATAGGCTTTACATATGTGGCCTTTATTGATCGCACTTCTCAGCTCAGTCAGGATCAGGATTAATAACTTGCCTTTCATAATAATTATTTTATATGCCGACAAGTCTAGCCCAATGAAAAAGACATTCACTTGTAGATAAGAAAGCTTAAGTTTGAGCCCTCATGACATCTTCATTGTGTGCGTGTGTGTTAGAAACCTCATTTTTTATAATTTAGACTATCGCTTACAGTAAAAAACAATATTAATGCTTTATATATGTTCCACACTAATCAAGGAACGATGAATAAGACCAACAATGATAGAATTGTCATTGTCAAGCTATTCTCGAGAAAAAAGAGATGAAGGGAAGCCCAACAACTGGTCTAATGGACTTTTCTTGCAAAGATGGCCCAACAAGAAGTCATTCTATAATGAGAGCTTTATATATAGCCTTTAGGCGAGGTTTAACCGTTAAATCAGGCTAATCAATTTGATTCAGCGACTAACTAATTTTATAAAGCCCTCATTATAGAATTCTTCGCCCAAGAAGTAGAAGTAGTAGGAAGACCAATTCGGCTACCAACAAATGAAGCCCATTACAGAACTCAAAACTTTAAAGTCAAACATATGCAAATGAAAACAACAGAGGAAACGCCATTTTGGGTTGAGCCTCGTGGGTGATGATGTGATGGGGGTAATTAGCGAAAAGCATATCTTATTTATAAGATAAAATATATTTGCCTTGTGAAATTAAGAGAATGACATTAAAAATGATCATGGCCCTGTTAAGCCGGCGATACTGAATGAAACAACCCCAAATGGCAACCATTCACGTTCCAAAGTTAACAAACCAACCCTCCACTCTCCATCACCTACCCAATCACAACCGTTGGATCATCCCCCTTCCCTCGGTATAAATAACTACCACTACCCCTTCCCTCCAAAAATAACGTTTCCCTTTCCTTTGAAAGAGTCGCAGGTAGTTATATTATAAACCCGCATCTTCCCCATTTTGCCCCTGTTCCATTAGCCAAAATGAGAGAGATTCTGCACATCCAGGGAGGGCAATGTGGGAACCAAATAGGATCCAAGTTCTGGGAGGTTGTGTGCGACGAGCACGGCATAGACCCCACCGGCCAGTACACCGGGAACACCGATATTCAGTTAGAGAGGGTCAATGTTTATTACAACGAAGCCAGCGGCGGCCGTTACGTGCCCCGGGCGGTGCTCATGGACCTTGAGCCGGGCACCATGGACAGCATCCGGGCCGGACCCTATGGCCAGATTTTCCGGCCCGATAACTTTGTCTTCGGGCAGTCCGGGGCCGGCAACAATTGGGCCAAAGGCCATTACACCGAAGGCGCTGAGCTCATTGATTCGGTGCTCGATGTTGTCAGGAAAGAAGCTGAGAACTGTGACTGCTTGCAAGGTATAGTTTGAATTAAATTATTTCAAATGATAAAAATTGTATGATTTAATCTGATTTATTTACTTTGTCAGAATTCCAGTGGGGGAAAGGAATGAATTTGATTCCCACATTTTATATGAAATGAAACCAGTATGGTTTCTGATTTATTTTCATGCTTCACATACTTTCATAACAGGGAAGTTTCTGTAAATGAAACCAGTTTGGTTTCTGATTAATTGTATGGTAATAAGAATAGTGCTTCACATCACCAATAAGATTTATGTAATCTTCCTCAGCAAGTTGACAAGCTAGGTGGCATTGTTAAGATTGACCATAAACCACTTAGGGTCAAAAGGACTCTGTATTTAATTTTCTTATTCAGATGAAAGAGAAACATCTCATTTTTCAAGGATGGATTTTAAATTTTTGTCCAGGCATGACATAGTACAAATTCAAAGACAATCTTGCTTTTTCAGGGAAGAAATAGAAATAGCATTATAGCTAGATTGGATTTGGTTGGTTTCTGCGATGCTAAACTCATTGTAGTGTTTCAATTAAGTCACTGAGATGTGAGTGAGATTTTGGCCTTTTAAACTTGTTGATGCAGGATTTCAAGTATGTCACT